GCTTCACACTGTCTTGATCAAGAGTGTGTGAAGCTTTTGAGAATTGTGGTTGCCTTCCATTGATGAAGCTCTTGTTGGCACCGTAAATTACTTTTGCTTCACACTGTCTTGATCAAGAGTGTGTGAAGCTTTTGAGAATTGTGGTTGAACTCCTTTGATGAAGCTCTTGTTAGCACCATAAATTGGTTTTGCTTCACACTGTCTTGATCAAGAGTGTGTGGAGCTTTCTACGAATTGTAGTGTTTGCATTGTTACAGAGCGGAAATGTCTGAAGCAGATGCAAGAGGGCTGAATAGCTTGATCTTCGTATGCCATGCACTGAAGTTGTTGTTGGCTTGCAATAAGACTTTGTTGGTGACTATAACTCTTGTTGGGCAGCCCTTAGTTGAGTTATTAAGCTTGAGGGTTTTTGATTATTTGTGAATGCTAGGAGTTCACATGTACAAGTTGTACCACTTGTCTTCTGGTAGGTGGAATGAATGGTGAGTTGTTTTCATCACTTGGTTGGTGGTACGAATGTGAGTTCCTTCATCACCTTTCATCACATTTCATCACATGGTTGGTGGCACGAGGATGAGTTCCTTCTTCACTTGGTTGGTGGCAAGAATGGCAAGTTGCCAAATGATATTAGAGTACGGGTTGTACATTTCATCACCTGGTTGGTGGCATGAATGAGAGTACGGGTTGTACATTTCATCACCTGGTTGGTGGCATGAAGATGAGTTCTTTCTTCACCTGGTTGGTGGCATGAGTGGCAAGTTGCCAAATGATATTAGAGTACAAGTTATACATTTCATCACCTGGTTGGTGGCATGAAGGTGTTACATGTTGTACATTTCATCACCTGGTTGGTGGCATGAAGATGAGTTCCTTCTTCATATTTCATCACCTGGTTAGTGAGAATATGGGCAAGGTGTCAAGGCACATTGTAGCAAGTGTCGAATGACGCAAAGTATGTTAAACCTTTTCAAAGCACAGTTGGCTTATGTATGAATGTGTTGGAATGTACGATTGAACGAATATACTATGAAGTTGTTTGTTTATTTGTATAGTTTTGTTGACATATACTTAGACTTTGTTTCATGTTGGAAGCATTCAAGTTGAAGCTTTGAACTTGAGTGTTTCATTGCTAGGAATGTAAGATGATTAGGACTGAGTTGTCTAAATCACCTCTTTATTGAATTCATGCCAAATAGTCTTCGTTACATAGGATGCCGAACGGCTGAAGTTTAACACTTGTACAATGTGAGTTTACTTGTAATAGTACTTCAAGTGATCAGCGTTCTATGGATGGCCAAGGGTCTTGCCATTAGAGCTTCTAAGCTTGTAGAAGCCAGGGCGACTGATGGCAACAACTTCAAACGGTCCATCCCAGTTTGGACTAAGTGTTCCTTTACTCAGGACTCTGTCGCAGAGTAATCTTTTCTTCAATACCCAGTCCCCCACTTTGAAAGAACGACGTTTGACCCTTGAGTCATAGTAGTTAGAGATGCGCTGCTTGTAGGCGACATTTCTCAAGTGAGCTTGGTTTCTGTGTTCCTCGACTAGATCTAAGTTAAGGGTAAGTTGTTTGTCATTTTCGTTTTGCACGTAGTTCTGGACTCAGAACATTGCTTGCTCAAGCTCAACTAGGACAACTGCCTCCGTACCAAAGGCAAGTGAGAATGGGGTTTCTCCTGTTGATGTCCGATAAGAAGTGCGGTATGACCAAAAAACTTGGGGTACAAATTCTGGCCAACAACCTTTAGCCTTGTCCAAGCTGGTTTTCAAAGTTCGCTTGATTATTTTGTTGATGGCTTCGACTTGTCCATTAGACTGGGGATGAGCTGGAGAGGTAAAACATAAGTTGATGTTGAACTTCGAGCAGAACATCCTGAACTTATTGTTGTCAAACTATCGCCCGTTGTCAGTGATTATCACATTGGGAATGCTAAATCTACAAAGGATGTTCTTCCATACGAAATCTTTTATTTTTGCCTCACTAATGGTTGCCAATGGTTCTACTTCAGCCCACTTTGTAGTAGTCAACTGCAACGATTGCATAGCGGACATTACCCTTCCCTGCAGGCATGACCAATGCTAGACATGGCCAATGCTAGAGCCAATTTCTCAATGTTGGAGTATCATGTCTCTGCATCTTGTAAGGCCTTGCTAGTGTAGTAGACAAGCCGTTTGACATTACCATCATTTCGAATGAGAACGGAACTTACTGCTGATGCCGATATCGACAGATAGATAATGAGAGTGCCATCAACCTCAGGTTTGAATAGCAGATGGGTTTTACTCATGTAGTCTTTGAGGTTTTTGAATGCCTCAGTACATTCATCAATCCATGTAATGTACTTCTTACTTCCCTTAAGTGCTTTGAAGAAATGAGCATATCTATCTGTGGTCTTAGAGATGAACCTAGTTAAGGCTGCCACCTTGCCAGTAAGGCTTTGGATGTCTTTTAAAGTTACCGATTCCTTCATGTCAAGGATTGCTTTGATCTTCTGGGGATTAGCCTCAATGTCTCGTTTGCTTATCATGAAGCCTAAGAATTTGCCAGAGCCTGCGTCGAATGCACATTTGTTGAGGTTCAACCTTATTCGATACCTCTTCAGAATTATGAAAGTTTCAGATAGGTTGGTGATGTGTTGGTCAGCATGTTTGCTCTTGACTAGCATATCATCAATGTAAACTTCCATGCTCTTCCTAATCTGTTCGGTGAACATTGAATTGACCAACCTCTGATAAGTTACTCCTGCATTATATAGGCCGAAGGGCATGACTTTATAGCAATATAGTCCCCTGTCAGTAGTGAAGGTTGTGTGTTCTTGGTCCGGAGGGTTCATGAGGATTTGGTTGTATCCTGAGTAAGCATCCATGAAGCTTAGAAGTTCACACCCTGTCGTAGAGTCTATAAGTCTGTATATGAGAGGAAGAGGAAAGCTATCCTTCGAGCATCCTTTGGTTAGGTCGGTGTAATCAACACACATTCTCCACAATATCTTTTGGAGTAGGAGACTTTCCTTGGTCGGATTCTTCTTAACAAGGACCATATTTGCTACCCACGTTGGATAATTAACTTCGCGGACGAAGCCTATGCCTTTGAGTTTTTCAACTTCTGCCTTTATTGCCTCGTACCATTCAGCATCACCAGAGATGGTAAAGGGGAAGAGAAGACATCGCTCTTCATCGGTGTGCATCCGATATGCCATGGTGGACTCAAGAAGGTTAAGGTGTTCAATCGGGTCCTCATTTCCAGTATAAAGTTGCAAGCCAAGCTTCTGCTTTGTCTTTGCTTGGAGGGAGGGTGTTGAGGATCCTCCTTGTAAGAGGGCTAGGCCTAGGTTGGTTTCAATCAGGTATCTCATCTTGTCGTTTGACCTTCAACTTGTTTACTTCCTTAAAAAGCTGTAGGACAAGAAGGTCCTGAGTGGAGTCATGTACCACTAGAGCTTTCTTTCTTAAATTTTCATCTCCTCTTGGAAGTATGAAGGTTTGATCAAGAGTATGTGATTTTTCCCTGGACTCGCCGTACTGACTTCCAAGGTATGTCTGTCGGAACATCTCTGAGTCCCATATACCTTCATGTTTCTCTAGGACTTGTTACCCCTTCCCCAAATTGGTAGCCGATCTGAGACATGGGAGGTGATCGAGCCTTTCAAAGACCCTTGGGTCATTAATCTTCGAGCTTACATGGATGGGATTGTCTCGATGTTGCTTTAAGAAGTCTCGACAGTCGCGAAAGACGGATTTCGATCCTTCCACTCACTTTTGTAAGGAAGTGCCTTCCTCCACTCATCCTGCTTCGGGTTGAAGCAGCTGGGTTGAGAGAAGTCTCATGTTGGTCGCCATTTCGATGAGTAGCTCGCTCCTCAACAGGAATACCCTAGTCGAGGGCAAATGACCATCCGTGTTGGGGGGGCACCCAGTTGATGGTTGACTTCCACATGGGTGATAAGCTCGTGTGTTTTAGTATATCTAGCCTCGTGGACCATCTCGAATACCTTCTCATACTGCTCTTGGAGGATCTCATTCTTCATCGCTATCTTATTGTTCTGAGCCTCCAGCTCATTGACTTTAGCCTGAAGAGCAAACTTCTTTTGTTCATTCTTTCGTTGCTTCGCACCAGGTGCAAGAGGGGTGTCATTCTGTGTGCTATAGCTTCCTTCGCTCCCCATGTTGGAAAGGGATGCCTGGCCAAAAATGAGTGTACGAATGGTGGAAACCAGCTTGACAAAGCTAAAGAGTGTGGGAATACGTGTCGTTCCCACAGACGGCGCCAAATGTTGATTCACAAAATCAGTGAGGACTTTGGTACAATAGAAAATGTTAAGTTTGTGACCTTTGCTAGAGGGGTGTGATATCCACACACCCTATTTTACTTCTCACACACCTTTTTAATTTCCAGCCGTCCGATCGAATGAATTGAGGAAGATTAAGGGACAGAAATTATCAAAGAGTGTGTGAGAAGTAAAATTGGGTGTGTGGATAGCACACCCTTTGCTAGATTGCTCCGGTCACTAGTGTGGGTAAGTATGTAAATGGATAGAGACAGGGAAGCAAACACAAGATGTACGTGGTTCACCCAGATTGGCTACGTCCATGGAGTAGAGGAGTTCTCATTAATTGTTTAGGGTTTACACAAGTACATAGGTTCAAGCTCTCCTTTAGTGAGTACTAGTGAATGATTTAGTACAAATGACATTAGGAAATATTGTGAGAGAATGATCTCTATTTATAGAAGAGAGTTTCTAGTTTCATTCTAACATTGACACGTGTCGTGTTGTGATTGGCTTCTGATATTGACACATGTCGCGCTATGATTGGCTTTTGATGTCGACACGTGTCGCGCTGTGATTGGCCTCCTGGTTTGAGGGAAACTCTTCTAGGTCCTTGACTGTATAACGTTGACCGGTGCTCAGTAGTTTTGGGATTGGTCAAGTACACGTGTCATGATAGTTTCATTGTCAATACAAGAAAAAACAATTTTCTCAATGTAAACAACTAAGCTATCATTTAACCATTGATCTCCCGTTCTGTTGCGGAGTGGACTCTTTATGATATTCATGGCGGAAAATGCTATCTCCACTGAAGCAGTTGCAACAGGTAAAACCAAAGCCAATTTAATAAGTAAATACATATATTGAAATACTCGATGCAACCTTTTTTCCACCATTTTCTTAGCAAGATCACTAATGCTTTGCAACTGAGAAAAGTCACTTCTCGAACGCATAGAATGAATATAAATATCAAGTTGATCTTTAAGTGCCAATAGGTCTTGCTTCGTAAAATCTTGAGGGTACAATTGAGCAAGGCGAAATAGCTTTTCTTTGTCAAAAGCTGTAAAACAATCATTTGGACTCAAACTAGCCAAACAAATGAGCAATTCAGTACTTGTTTCATTGAAGTGATCATTTAACTCTATAAGCTGGGAATCAATGACAACAAAAAAGAGCTCCACTTTGTAACGATGATGGTTGGTCTTTTTGTGGGTATTACGGTGCGACCTCCCATGAGCTACATATGTCTCATCCATGTTAATACCCTCAATATGATGTTGGACACAAAATGACAATACTTTGTCAACCAAAAGGTCAAACCCCTCATCATTCCTCATGTAGAGTAGTTGTTCTTTACATGTGTTGACTAAAGCCATTGAATTAACAATCTCTTGATCATCCTTTTGTAATGCTTGTGATAAATCATTCATGATTCCCAATATAGATTTCATAAAAAATAGGAGAAACACAAACTCAAAAGATTGTATGTCTTTCAATAACCTATTTGCTTCGACCACACAATCATTGGTATTATCATCAACAATCATTTCAAGCACATTGACCACGGATGAGAACATAGTAATTAAACTAATCAAAGTACCATAATGTGAATTCCATCTTGTAGCTCCGGCACGTTTGAGACTAGTTTCTTGATTTAATCCTTGTCCCGTCATAAGAGAATCATTTTCAAGAGCTTTCATAAGTTCTTTTTGTTGCATCTCTCTAAGTGCATCATGACGCTTACATGAAGCTCCAATATTATTTACCACATTATTAGCCAATAGGAAGAATGTGTTAACATCAACATTATCCTTTGCTACGGCAACAAGAGCTAATTAGAGTTGATGAGTAAAGCAATGAACATAGAATGCACAAGGTTGATCATTCAAAATCTTTGTCTTGAGTCCATTGAACTCACCTTTCATATTACTAGCACCATTGTAACCTTGCCCTGGTAAATTGGAGAAGCTCAACTCATTGAAATGAATGAAGGCATCAATAAACTCCTTTAATGTGTTTGAAGTGGTGTTGGGAACATGTTGAATTCCTACAAACCTTTCAATGACTTTCCCATTATTGTCCACATAACGCAAAACCACCACCATTTGCTCCTTTATAGAAACATCACGTGCCTCATCAACCAATAGAGAAAAGAACCTAGCATTCTTCATATCACTTATGATAGTTTTAATGGTTTCAATATAACATGAATGAACAAGATCTTTTTGAATTGAATGAGCTATTAGCTTGAGATTTCCCGGAGCTTTATCTAACACAATGGCCTTTATTTTCTCATTATGATCCGCAAGGAATTGCAAGAGCTCCAAATAGTTACCTCTATTGTTTGAAGTGTCATTTTCATCATGACCACGAAATGAAAGACCTTGTTGCAACAAAAACTTAGTGCAATCAATTCATGCATTCAAGCAAGTGCGATAAACCATACGAGCTTCTTTTGACTATTTGACCACAACTGTTTCAATATGTGTCTTTTAATTCATTAGATTACCAGCAGCTTCAACAGCTTTATTGTGAAAGCTACCAACCATTCCCACATGTTTTTCAAAACAGGCTCTTGTGTGCTTCCAATTTTGAAAGCCTACCTCAGTAAAGACGTCACTGCCTGATTGATCAAAGTTGACTTTGAATAGATAGCAACAAAAGCAAAATGCAGCATCTTTAGATATACTATATTCCAACCAATGAAATTCCTTCAACCAATTATCAACGAATTGTTGCTTTTTATTCGAATGCAAAGTGAATGGAAAATCATGATCTTTAGCTCTAAAAGGATCCATCAATATATATGCTCTTCGGACCTCATCTCGAATATCTGGAGGATAAATCCTTCATTGGAATTCTCTTTCCGGGGTCTCTTTTAAGATTATCAAAATCAACTTTTAACTCATTTTGTTGTGGAGTGGAATTACCCCCAATTGGATTAGAACTACTTGGAATTAAAGGGAAACTGTTCAGAATAGGATTGGAACTATCCAAGTTCGGAGATGAACTATTTGGAATATGATTGTCCGAACTAATCAATGATGATTTTCGCTTGTAATATCGTTCCATACTTCTAATTTCTATACATATCAATTAATAAAAAAATCTATATCAATTGATGAAACTAAAAAAAATATTATATGAAAAACAAGAAATCAGATTCATTTATAAATTTATTATTAGGTATGTGCCCGTGGGATTCTAATATTATGAATGCCAAAGACAAAAAGATGCATACCACAAATAGACTGCCATCACTTCAAAGAAACGTTAAAAGTTTAATTCATCACCAGATTCACCACCAAACATTAAAAATAAAGATACTTCTTAAACAAAATATCTAACACCACAAATAAATCAAATAGTGGGTCGTATTAATGTACCCATTCTTCTTTATTAATGTACCATTTTGTTATATGTGAAATGTACCAATTTTTTTGTTTGTACCCTAATTTTTTTGTCTTTATAATGTACCCATTCTTCTTTTATCTGTACCCTAATTTATTTATAATGTACCCATTCATCTTTATTAATGTACCATTTTGTTATATGTGAAATGTACCAATTTTTTTAACACTATGGATACATTCTTTTGCCATTTATTATTTCGTATTTTTACATAGTTTTTATCCATTTATTCAATCAAAATGTTTGAATTTTTTTATTGTAACCGTATCTAATAGTATTATAATGAGGGATTTTAAATTTATAGGATTATAAATCTCATAAAATATCAAACAATTAATGTCAAAACTATAAAAATATAAATATTAATTGTAATATAATTCGGTGTACAAAGTCAATGGACTTTGATCAAACTATGAATACCATTAAGATTTTAGTCAAAGAATGTTAAGGATTAGGGACCGCATTTAAAGTATCCCAATTATTTAAATATTGAACACCACAAATAGTTTAATATCAGATAGTGTATGGAAAAATTATTTAATGGATAGAGTCAAAGAGAGTAAAAACCTCTTTGACTAAGAAGAAGAGGACCAGTGGCTAGCCTCCGGACCAAAGCTTTACACGGAGAAAAAATGCAGAAGGTTACAGATTTTCACCAGAGATGTCGTCGCCCCGCCCGTCAGTGCAACGGTGAAAATAAACTAGAGTGCAACAAAGAGTTGATCGATGCCGTAAGGAATAGGAGAGGGCCGAGCTGCAGACGATTAGGTATTATTGGTAAAGTGAAGGTTCTGATTGCTCTATCGTGTGAATGAGCTGAGTGCTCTATCGTGTGAAGATTCTCACGTGAGTGAGGTTTTAAATTTTTTTAATGACTTGGCTTAAAATGACGTCGTTTTGCCAAGTCATTGTGTAGCATCACTTGTGCAACATCACATGCTGCGCATCACTTGTGCAGCATCATTGGTGCAACATCACTTATGTAGCATCACTAACATGGGTGGTCCTTGAAGATCCTCACAACCATTTTTCCAAGCTTCGGGTGGTCCCTTAATAGATCCACCCCTGGGTATAGCAAGCAACCAAGAAAGCAAATGCTATTTCAAGTTTTCAATAGTCCCCTTCTAAAGAATTCAAGCTAGCACTCAATTTTTATTTCTGTTTATGCATAAATAACAATGTGTTGGGATTTACGGTTCAAAATTAGGATGATGCAGAAATTATGTTTGTGTTACCTATTTTGTTTCGTGTCCCATTTGGGTTTGAATTTGACTTATTCGTTGGACTCCTTATAGGGAGATTTTGTTAATTACCTATTTAATTACGATTTGGATTTACTTCCAATTATGAATAGCATTCTCATTGTTGTTGTAAACATTCCTAATTATCCTTTTCTATTACAACTTGTATTACTTCGAGAAGAAGGAATATCTTCTCTCATTTTACTACTATAAATAAAGGCACCATGTAGGAGGGATAACAACACACATTCCCCTACAATTCTACAAACACATCTCTCTTAATCTCTACCCTTGCCGCTGGCCCCCTTTAACCCTGTCAGATAAAATAGGCTACAACACTTTATCAGCACGCTCCTATCGCTGTGCTTAGTAATCTGACGTCGAATAATTTTTTCTGCATCAAACCATTTATTCCATATCATCACACAATCAGGCTCTTTCAAAACAACGATTTTTATCTCGATATTTTTGTAGCCATGATAGCATAAACATTCAACATAATGCATGACCCAACTTTACGTTTTTCGAATTTTAGATTCTACAAAAATTGTGTATGCATTATATTCATAATTATTGAATTATGTGAATTTGATATTTGCCATTGAATTGCATCAAATATATGTACATGCATTATACCATTGAATTGAAGATGCTTTGAATTAAATTATATATGAATTGAATTTAAAAAAAAAAAACAGAAAAAAAAAAGAAATCGAAACAGGCAACCTGGGTTCTTTGAACCCATGCCCTCGCACCATTAAACCAAGCCTGCAGCTTGGGTGGCCAAGCCGTGCCAAGCCGCGAGTTCCCTAGCCGAAGCCGAGGGCTCCAGGATTGAAACCTAGCAACCCCGACGCTTTCCATGGTATCTTCCCCCGTCGCAGGTTGGCTTACAACCAATCCCCATCCACAGGTTTCCATGTTTGACGGCCTGAAGCTCATCGCCGATACTAGTTGACCGAGATTCTCGAATCTCGTTGCAATTTTTTTTAAATTTCTGATTCGTATTACTAGGGTTTTGATAGAACATTGAGATTTTTCAATCTCCATTCATATTTAAGGTCTTCGTTGACCCATGGACTCGCCCCGAGTACTGTTGTTCCAAAGCATGACCGCATGAAGCAGTGGTGTCGACCTTCTTCCTTGGTGAACACACCCAACTACGGCTGGGGTGTCTTTGGACCCAACCCGAGCCCTATTGGGCTCAATCTCTCGGCCTGCTCCTTAATTTTTTTGGGCCCCTTGTATTGGCCCATAAGCTGTTTGACCGGCCCACGAAAAAATTGAAAGTTTGCTAATTTCTAATTTCTTTGTTTAATTTGGAAGTTTGCTAATTTCTCACCGATGTGGAGATTGTTGGGATTTACAACTCATAATTAGGATAATACATGATTTAGGTTTAAGTTATCTATTTTGTTTGATGTCCTATTTGGCTTTTGATTTGACTTATTTGTTGGACTCCTTAGTTGGTGGAGAAATTTTGTTAATTACCTATTTGATTACGATTTGGATTTACTTCCAATAAGAATTAGGATTCTCATTGTAACCTAAGTCCTCTACATTATAAATAGGACTTTGGGGTTAGTTTATTTTTGTGTGTCATTGTCACCAACGTTAGTTTAGAAGAGTTTTCTCTCATTGAGTTTTGGTTAGAGGTTACTGTTTGGAGTCATGAGTGTGTGATAAATTCATGGCTTATTCGTGTGGCAATTTGGTGAGAGTTAATTTGTCAGTTTGTGAGTTAGAGAGCAATTTGGGAGAATCTTTTCTGTTAGGTTTGGGTTATCTACTCCTTTGGTTTAGAGTTTGTAATTTGTGGGATTTGAGTTGGGATAGTTTAAACTCTCTTTTGTAATCTCCGCTTGTTTAGTGAAATTCCTCGCCGTGGTTCGCCTGTGGACGTAGGCTTTACACCAAACCACATTAAATCTCTTGTGTTATTATTTTTGAGATTCTTTGTTTCTTCGCTTTCCTATGACGTGGATATTTGGTACTTTTGCTAGAAGTTTTTTTGTTTATAAGTTTTTCGTATCAAGTTTGTTTGTTTACAAGTTTTCTGTATCAAAAGTTAGATAGCTAACCGTTGGGTGTTGAGTTTTTACTCATGCATCTAGGATTTGAAGTTTCAATCTGCTCTCCTCACCGTAATAATAATAAATTAATAAAAAAAAATTACATCGTTGACATGTGGACAGCTTAGAGGCCTCCTTAGTTGCTCAATACACAGAGACATATGTACTGTAGTCATTAGTATATTATTAACAACTCAAAGCTACAAGTTTTTCTTTTTTGCAACAAGCCCATTACATAGCTTATTATTGGAAAACAAACCAGATCGAAGACAGAGAGAGGTATGACTGTAAGAGCTCCATTACATTTGGACAATTTGCTCTAGTCAATGTAATTACACTTACGTCTGCAACTTTCTTTTTAATTTATGTGCTTTGTTTTGGTAAAGACATTTTGTAATTTTGTAGACCTCAAAGTTCAAGGAAAACGAGACATTTCACTTTGGTGATATCAATTCCAATGGTACTGGTGATCTGGATCCTGGTCTTGGTGCATTTTGTGTTGGTCTAGGCCTAAAAGCGAGGAACGTAGAAGAGTCCCAATGAGTCTTGGACCTGCTGCACCTTCAGGACCTTCAGCGCCTGCAGCCCATCTTCCGGCCCAGGTCAATGTAGCATGAGATAATTGGATAATAAAGGGGAAGCTTGAGCTCTTTTGGTTAAGCACAATACTTTCATGCACTTGAAATTTTGAGTTTGATTCTTCTAGACAAGCAACTCGTAGCTCTTTTGTTTTGAAACATTCACTTCCCATACCTGAGATCCTGAGTTTGATTTCTCTTCTTTTTAATATCACTTGTATTAAGATAAGAAAAGTCTAGACATTGCATCTCTAATGGGCTGCTGTTTGAACCCAATTTGGTATCATCGGCTTGTTTGATTGAGGTATTTGCACGTGATACACATTGGAGGGTAGGTAGATAATTTTTCATAGAGAAATAGTGTATGGAGTTAACTTTGGAGGGTAATTGGTAGTTTTCATAAGAAATAGTGTAGGTTAACTTTGGAGGGTAAATTAGACATTAGATTCTCAACCTATATAAAATGTGAAGGGCTTATAGGTGAGAAAATAACTGTATTACACTTTGAAATGTGTCAAGTGATTTAAGTAGACGAAAAAATAGTTAAAATAGCTTTAAATATAATAGTAATATCATAAAATTAGCAATTTTTAAGGAATTCATGGACTTATTTTACCCAAAAAATAATTATGTGACCTAATTTTCACTAAGGTGATACTTCATAGATTAAAGCGGCACTTCACCCTAATATTTTGGCTAAATATTAATTATCAAACTATAATTTGGAGACGAGGATAAAACGAAAATGGGTTATTCAAAAGATCAAAAGATAGGTTCCACACCATGTTGGAAATTACGAAATAATTGGATTGCAGGATAATCATCATGATCGTACAACCCATATCAACTTGCAGAGAGACTATTTTGCCTTATCAATGCAATTCAAATTGAAATGGGGTTGTTTGATTGCATATGGACGTGTGGAATTAGGTAACAGACAGTATGGCTGGAGGAGTTGGTTTAATATTGGTGGATTGGTCTCATCACACGTTTTGAATTTCTATCAAGAAATTTAAGCTCACAAGGAGACCAAAAGAGATTTGGTTTGGTGGCTGGTGGAATGAATATTCCGATAATATCACAGCGAGATGGGTGCAATTTGGAAAACACATTCGCGGTTTGATAGCCAAAGCGTACGAAGAGAATCCTTTGTATAAATAGAAGCAATTCTGCAACATTGAAAGAATCTTCAACTCTACACAAATTGTTTTACATTCTCGCTCTAAAACCTCTCAAACTTTTGAGAAAATACTAACTTCTCTAACTATGTCAACATAACATTTAGTTTGGATTAACAGAGCTCGATAGCACGTTCGACACCACGACCACATTCATTCTACTTGTTGACTGAGCTCAATAGCAAGGTGGCACCCCATCATTCACTAGAAGGACGTAGTTAGCTCATTAGTTATTCAGGTTGTGAGCAACCTAGACTAAGTAGTTTTTAGAGAACGCCTCCGTAAATGAGCTCCTAACTAAATTTTAGAGACGATTTGGGAAATCCATCTCCAATCACACTCCCTAACCACCTCCTAAGATAGATATTCTGGTAGGAGCTCATAAATTTAGTGAGTGAAAAAGGATATCCTAGCATTAGTTGCTAATATTTTAAATAAAAACTCTATTCCCAATGGAATAAGGATCCTCTTTATGAGGATCTCAGGGATCCTCCAATCACGTCAGTTCATTGTACGTTGTGCGGTTAGAAATCATTGTAAATTTTTTTATATTTAAAATTGAATATAAACAGTACCTGACGAAAACTGGTTGCACGATGTACGATGAACGAACATAATTGGAGGATTTCCAGAATTCTCACAAAGAAGATCTGGAGAGGATCCTCATTCTTCCCAATGGTCGACGATCATTGTGACTCCCTATTTAGCTGAATAATTAGTAATTCAAATGAAGCACGTCCTAATATAAATTTGGAGAATAAATAGAGAATTTAGATATAAGTAGCTAGTGACAAAGCATAAGCACAGTAGGATGACACATGGGATGAAGCAAATGCGTATCAGAACATATGTGATTTTAGAACTTGAAGTCCAGTTTACAAAACGTCTTATCATCAAAACATAATTGAGTACAAGCATTCTCATGTCTTTTTTAATATGTAAGCGATTTTAATCTGCTTAAACTTAGACTAAAAAGCGGGAGGGGGATACAAACTCGAGTTCAAAATGAGGTGCACATCTGTTCTAACCTAAGCAGCTACATTCAAATCTTCTGAGCATTCTAATAGTTAAATATAAATTTTGTATCCATACTTTATACCTTTCGTGATTTTTATCATCTTTAAGGAAAAATATAAGATTATTAAATAGAAGCATGTATTATAACACAAGTGAATTTAGATATATTTCCAACTCATAAAACCACGATTAACATCGACAGCATCACCGTTTCAGCCTCCTCTAATTACTATCGTGCGATTCATTAAAAATCAAACACAGAATATACCATATAAAATACGAGCAAGAAATTTCTCTCCAACCACTGTAGAAGAGGAGAGTGTTAGGCCAAAAACCAACTAGTTTGGTCCATCCTGCATTACATATAATCACGTGCCATCGTCCAGTGCCTTTGATTTCTACTGTAGAAGAGGCGAGTGTTAGGCCAAGTCACGTGACCGTCTGGGCCATGCATGGTTTGCAAATCTACCAACTCCTCTTTTGATTAATTTTCAAAATCTCAAAGACTTAATCTCCTTATTCAGATAGAGCATGTTCACTACATTTTTTTTAGGGAACTTTCATAAAAAGGGTTTGAGTTAAATTTATTTTAATAAAAAATCATGATATAACTTTATTTAATTATAAATACTTAAATTTTAATGAAAAACCCTTAAATTTAATAAAATGTACAAAAGAACTTAAATTTTTATGACAAAAACATAATTTATCACACAATTACACTGTTTATGAAACTTATTAACTTACTATACTGTTTATGAAATTTACTACATTATTTATGAAACTTAACGTGTTTCATTCCCTTCTTCACCTCTCCGCAATGTCGCTTCTTCAAATGCCACAAATCTCTGTCCACGCACACAAAGGCCCCAGTAGTGTCGAAGATCACATGGGAATAGCAGCCAAGTCCCATCACTTGGAGTGGTCTATTGGTATCCCAAACGGCTTGGGAAGATTTGGTAGCAAGCGGAAGAAACCCAAGGTCATCATCAGGAAGCTCAAATGTTATAATACCCATTGGGAAATTGGGAACTAGAGAAGCTACAACCATCATGAGGCTCTCTATCATCTGGTCCAAATTTCCCCAGATAATAAGAGTAATTGCAACCATGAATGGGAATAAAGAGAGTAAGTTGGAAATGATGAACACCAAAACATCATAATATCCATCCTTGTAGACCACCTGGGAATATTTACCATCCTTGTAGTCCCTTCTTTTGGAGAACCAGTCCGGGATCATGTCGACGTCGGCCTTCTTGTAGACGATGTCAGCGAAACGTCTATCGATACCCTTGATGGAGGTAATAGTGAAACATGATCTTCTGCTTTCCATCCACATTGGTATTCAACACACGCATAATATGCTGCAACTCCTCATCTGCGAATTGCAATGAGAGACATGTGCTGCGACCTTAGGGTTTGACGGCTCTTTGCTCTAACTCTGCGTGCGTGTGGTTGAATTGTTGTCAGAAAAACTGGAAACTCGGGCATTTTAATTGGATTGATTTAATATTGAACTTTGTCCTAAACATTAAATAAAGTTAGTATATGATTTTTGGTTAACATTTAAAGTTTTCAAGCCCTTATTATTAGTTTTTTTTTTTTTTAATGAAAAGGGATCTCCGGAGATCCCTTCCACCTAATACTCATTATCAAACAATTTGGGACTTTAAAATTTAATCCAACGGTTAAAAACACGGGTTCACTTTAAAAGTTATAGTAACTTTATCCGTTAGATCAAATTTCAAGGTACGGATTGTTTGATGATGATGATTACATAGAGGATCCCTTTGCTTTTCAAATGACAATGATATGAGATAATACAGGAATGATACGTGAAGTGTTCATGTATGAGATGAACTGTTTTTTCGGTAATAATGATACTTTACTGAATTTGGGAATTGAGCACAAATTTTGACATATATATAATGTCTGTATATTTTCATTCCTTGTGTTATTGTAAAGCAAGAATACGTTAGTAATGAAATAAATTATAATATCTTGTATTCTTATTTCTCATAAATAAACATGTCTTATTTTTCAGTCACTCTTTACAGCAGTTATGTTCTCCTAGACTTTATAAGTTATGTTCTCCTAGCCTCTATAGTCCAACAAGACCGTAGTTACTTATAGTTTAATAGTGCTTGATCCATAAATAAGTGTCATTTAAATTGTTACATTTTTATTCGAATGTTAAAGTAAAATCAAACGGTAATGTTACTATAATTTTCTTAGACTATAGAGACTTAAGAGAACGGGACCCCTTGCCTTGAAAAAGATAGCGATTGATGGCTTTTTCCTGAAAGAACAAAATTTCGACTAAAAAAAAAGAAAAAGACGTTGAAAATGAAAGACTCACATTGATCTTCCAAGCTGGCAGTTTGGTAGAATCAGTAGGCACACATTATATATTTCATGGGAATGGAATTGAAAAATCCAGGAAAACGATCACCACATATCAAATCACAGCCGTCGCATACTTTGATTCCATATATTTAAACACGCGGTGGTTAGTGAGAGAGAGAACCTCCATATTTGTATTTGGTATGAAGCATGCTTTGTTATGTGTTTGGTTTCTGGTTGGTAGGTGGAACGTATGGCGTCGGATCCAACTTATTACATTACTATTTTGGATCATGAGAACAGTAAGTGTTACAATGATGTGGTAGCACAAAAACTTAAACGTCTAACAGTTAAGGTCCAGCTAAGGTCTCAGTGTAATTCAGATTATACGATAAACTTGCATATATACTCCATAAAACTTAAAATCTTCACGGATGCCCAAGGTTTGCGACGGTAGATATGTTAAGAATAAATTTCATATTGATGGAAGAAGTGACTTTGCATGGAGTTATAAATAAGTTGGGATGCTCTCCATATTATGAGTAATGCTATTTATACCATGTTTTTGTATCATATTTTCATACCATTTTAAGTGACATCTGATGTGGACAGCCACATCATTTAAATTACTCAGATTTTTAAATTTAATTAACATTATTTAATAAACCAATAATTAAGAAAATCTCATAAATTAAATGATGATTGTAGCATACAATAAGTCTTTCTCCTTCCCTTCCCTCCCCTTTGAAACGGTGGGTTTTGCAAATTTTTCATTGGAAATAAAACCATGAATTTGGTGGGTTTTGCAAGTTTTTCAACAGGGATTCAATTCAAAGAACAAAGCATGCAGAACAAGCACACCGAATCATGAAACTTTGTAAACCTAGATTTCATTGGGTACAGAAACGCATTGGATTTGGTGGGTTCTGCAATTTTTTCAATAGGGATTCAAATGAGAGAACAAAATTGTAAAAAATAGCACACCAAATGATGAAAATTCTCAAAACCTAGCTTTCATTGTGCATAGAAAGCCATGAAAATTGGTGGGTGAGAGCCGCCATTGGAGCAAACTTCTTGGTCGAAAGGGTGAATACTTGATTGGGAGAGTGAAGAACCACTGGGTTTTGTGGTTTCTTCAGTTGGGAAACCCAGATGCAGATTTAAGAAAAGTAGCAGTCATTCAGTATACCCAACAGTGAAAGGAAAAGAAAGAAGAAAAACTCCTCCTATACCACAATTATCATTTAATTAACTAATTTTTCTTAATTATTGGTTTATTAAATAATGTTTAATTAAATTTAAAAGTTTGATTAATTTAAATGATGTAGTTGTCCACATATGTTACTTAAGATGATATAGAAATATGGTACAAAAACATGATATGAATATCATTATTTGGCTTTATAGTGAAACCTCAACTTCCTTTAAGACGTACGAATAACTGTCTTGTCAATATACTTCATGTAATATTCCTTGCTGAGAGTAGAACCTCACATCAGTAAAAGAAGGATTTTACATGTTCTTATAAGTAGTTGGGTTACTCCCCATACCGATTCGTTTTATGGTGGAACATTAACTTCAGTCCTGGTATTAGAGCATGGTGTCTCATATGTGAAACCCAACACATGCTCCACGTCACTTGATTTGTGTTGTCCACATGTTAAGCTTAAAAATTCGCTACACATAATCTACTCCCCATATTATTAATTAATTTTATAGTAAAACCTCAACAATCTCCATTTGCAAAATTAGAATGTATTGTAAACTCTACCAATTTTCTTTGTGAGGGGAATTGATTCAAACTTACCTTTCATCGTTTGGGCGATAATTAAGGCGAATATATTATTAAATCACAATTGTCTACAACTTTGATTTGATCGTGTCTATGTGACATATTAAGTCTAGCAAAGCTGAATTTCCTTTCGTAAACAAGAAGGTTACTACTGCTACTCATGAATTGACCATTGGATAGCCTATGGCCTACAAATAAGTTATAAAGTTCAATTTAAAGAGTATCATTGTTCTTGTTCAAAAAAAAAAAAAAAATTGTATACTTGTTATATATTAATGGGGAAAGCTCCAAAAGCATAACAGTGAAGAGCGCTCAATACAGATGATACAAAATGAGCCCGAGAGATTAGGGCTTTGTCTGCCTCCCTCTACTTAAATTTCATATCTTGGTGATGTTCTATTACTTATGTTTGGTCTTGAAAGGAAAAAGAAAGCAGCTAGCTGCATAGGTGCCGCTGGTTCCTTTCCAATATTCTTATTTGTTTAGAACCATGGATTCATAGGGATTGAGGATAAAAGAATAGATTACTAAATGATAATTAAGAGAAAGTAATGTTAAAGAGACGAAATTTTTAAATTAAATTTTGTAAACTAAATGATATGATTGTTGATTTGATTATCAGTTGATTAATTTGGCTTATTTCCTATTGGTGACACATTATTTGATCTGCAAATATGATTTAAAATTTTGATCTCTCTAGCATTATCCTTAATAGAATAGATGACTAAATGATAATCAAAATTGTGGGTACCAAAGAATGTCAAGCAAACCAAACCAGAAAATGCTTGTGTTCTCCTATGAGGAACTTACTTGTCCCCTTTTATGAATAATGTGTCTTCATCGTACGAACCTTCTAATCGAAACCATTTATTCTCTTTGTTATTATCTAAAAATCATATTGCTAAAAAGTCATTCAATTTAGAGATCGTTGATTCATCTATGCATGTCAAACAAGTTAACGGTTTTGGTAACAAGTAGTATCTTTATGATAAACCGTCCATTTGTTTGATGCATATGAATGTCTAAATGATCTTCAAATTAAGTGATATTTTAAATTATAAAGTACAATTTAAAATAGCATAATCAGAACCCTTCATGCTTGCACAATTTTTATAATTCAACCTTTATAAAAAATAAAAAATAAAAAATAAAAAAAAAACTAATTTTTCTTTATGACAAGCTCATACTAATTTAAGTGACATACAAACACTATAAATTTATAGTTGAGTTTTTTTTCCTAATTTTAATCTTGGAGTGATTATTTATAATTATATACTCCATGAGCTTGGTGTTACTAATTATCTAAAAACATCCAATCATTAACAGATAATATGTCATTTATTGCAATCCCAAATTCATTAGGAGTGTAATTGTGTAAATTTTAGTAGGAATCTATTAGATAGTTTTCTAGTTGTAATTGTATTTCTTGGAGAGTTAGATTTCATCTTCCTTTATTACTATATAAATAAAGACACAATGAGCTCATAAATGATCACCACAGAATCACCAAATTCTTATTTAACTAAGATTTTTGTCCTTTTTTCTTTATTTAACAGAGATTTTTCATGGAATGAAAAATGATTGATGATGGACAAACTCAAGGATCAATTTTATTAATTGTAAATAAATAGGGACTAAAGTGAGGATTATGCCAATCACAGAGACAATTTTGATTAAAAAGTATTTTAAATGCATTTAAGTATCACAATACATGATTGATTTGTTTAGTATTTGTAATTAACATAAATATTGATAATATATTGTAACTATTTATTAATTATATATGAAATCACTTTATAATATTATGGGGTTTTTCCTTCGTCCTTTGTACAATACAACAGTTGGAAAGGCTAGGGATTTTTATTGCCCAATGTTACAGTTATTGCTGCTCGAGGAATGTTTTCTTTTTTTTGTTTTTTGGAAATCAAGATATAAGATTATCCGGGCAAAGATGCCAAAGTTTTATAAGAAGGCCTACCTAGAGGTAAACAACCAACTACAAATACTATATAAGGGTAGTGCAAGGAGGTTACAAGAGATCAAAGACGCCGCACCTAATGCTAAAGCGTCCCTCCTCACATTACCATATACAATTAGTGGGGACATGGAAGGCCGTCATTACACAAAACATGAACAAGGGAAGATGGGGGTCTATCGACTCAAATATGGTCACATACTTCCCTACAATGCCGTGAAGCCAAAAGGTCCACTGCCGAGTTGGCCAATATTGGAACCCAAGACCAGCGACAATTTTGAACCCCCCCTAAAAAAATAAAAATTAATGCATTTCACAATAAAAGGGAAAGCTTCCCAGCTGCCATTCCTTGCTAAATCCTTTAAGCAAAAAATAGATTCCAATGAATAACACTCAACCATTATCAAATTCCAACCTCTGCTGATTCCTAGTTTACATCCATGCATAATAGTCATCGCCTCCACCATTGCCACGCTAGTGGCCTTCACTTTATACCTGCATGCCGCCAAGAACTTGCCCTCTGCATCCCTTGCCACCACTCCCGTAAATTCCAGCTCATCCCTTTCAATCCAACTGGCATCAACATTTATCTTTACGAATCCCGAACTCGATGGAGACCAACTGACACTAATATTTGTTTCCTGAGGACTGGGCACAAATGTAATGGGCGGGATTGATATATGCATGATGTTACGTTGTTATCAATCGGTTTAAACTCAAAAGTACATGGAGCACAAGTTAAAAAGCCTATAGGAGGTTAGCTTTTTTCTTTGCATATATATTGCATCGCCGCCGTAGTTTTGTAATATCTTTCTTTTTTCACTTCCACTTACGTAGGTGTAAAGGGAAAATGAGTGGAGGTTGGTGGGTGAGCATGCAGTAAGACTTAGCTGAAGAAACCACACCTTAGGCCATCTTCAACCAAGGGTTGGGCAGAGGGCTAGTTTTAGCCCTCTGGCCCTACAAGATATTAATATTTTAATCAACAGTACAGGGCTATATTTGTCTCTATCTCCAACCGAGGGCCAAAGGGCCATAGGGCTCGTTCTAGCCCTGCTGTAAAAAACCGTCTCCAACTGAGGGCCAAAGGGCCATATGGCCAAACATAATTTATTATTTAAAACCTACAACTTAAATTCAAATTCAACGGCTAAGTGACGTCAGCTAACTGTTGGATTTGAATTTTTTTGCTATAAATATGGTGGATATTGGACTATAATTCACATAACTTTGAATTCAATCTATTTCAATTCAAGTTTGCAATGAATTCCAACTTTGGATCCTATTCAGATTCCAACTGGGGGTCCTCATCAAATTCCAAATTGGAAGAAAAATGGGCGCAAATGAGACGAGAAGATAAGGAGTCTGATG